GAAAACTGAGCAGTTTTTACACTGGACTCTCAGAACAGTTTGCACAAAATCTGAATTAAAAGTTGCCTAGTCAAATACATTCTTCTGAAAATAAACTTAGACCATGCAGTCATTGCATCCAAGTTAATATGATGACAGGGTTTTGACAAAAACAAGCAGATTACCATTAACCTTTCAAGTAATACTCTATATCATTTTGGACAGAACAAACATGCACAGTCAACCTTAGACCACATTGTCTGATCTTCATTAGAGATCAGATGACAATACAGTAGGTATCGATTTCTTTAGTGTACATGATTTAAAATATACATAGATTCATGTACTGTACCATTGTGGTAGTGGGACTTATTGCACTGTCATAACATATTACAACTCCAAGCTGCAGCTGCACAATTTGTCACTGAAATGAATGATTTAACATGAACTGCACATTTTCCTAAATATAAATTGTAAAATACAATATCTGTGCTGTTATCAGAGGAACAGAAAAATGAAAAACAATAAAACTGTCTAACTTCCTAAACACCTGTCTCATATCACTCACAAACTGCTGCAACTAAATGCAATTTTGAGTGAGCAAGCCTTTGTGTTTGGGACTGTTTTAAAAATTGAGATTAATAGACTTTGCAATTGAAATTGTAGGTGCTCATTGTAGGTGACCCCCTTCTTCTAATCGTGCAAAATACAAAGAAGCATGAAAAGGCGGGAGTGGTAACTTAAATAAATAGATTCATATTTTTCAAATTCAAATTCAAATATTGCAAGAAGAAGGTTAATGAAGTACAGTATAATGGAATGTTGATGTATCCTTTGTCATGTTCTGTTTTAAGGACATATGCATTGGATTTGGGCAATGTTCTTTCCATAAAGAGCCTATTGTTAGTTGTTTATTTAAGGAATGAGAACAGAAAATTGAGAATGAAAAAAACAATTTTTAAAAGTGAGGAAGAAATGTATTGATACTTTGTACTAAATAACTTCACTGACCCCAAAACCGACATAATGACAATGTCTGGAAAGCAAATCAAGTTGTTAATTTGTTTTAAACAGCCCAAATTGACTGCATAGATGTTTCTTTTTTGCTTACATTACATATTCCAAAGCTAATCCATCCATCTGTATCCAAGAATGTTATCAAAGCAGTAATAAACATAATGGTATGCATTTTGGGAAGAATATATGCAGTAAGTGGTACAAGAGGGATTTAAGAAATGCATCCTGCATAAAAATTAAAATTTTCATTGAAAGCTGATTATCTTGATGAGGTTTTAGTTTTAAAATATATGCTCTTACTTCTTTGTAATCTACATGGGTATATTATTTAGTTCTCCCTCTGCAGCCAAATTGTATGTGTGTCATGTCATGAGACACTGATTGCTTGCCAGTAATGCAAACATTTTTAAAGCACCTTTCCAAAAAATTTGGTTCTTTAGGATGGCCAACTTTGCATTTTCATAAATTCCTCTGCAACTTATTGTCTAAAATGCATGATATGGAAATTGAGACCAACCCTTTTCTCCATCTTACTTATTAGCGGTGACTTCACCAATTGAATTAAGAAGTAAATTTTACTTACAGTTCTGTGAGATCTTAAATGACCTGTAGAGTAGTCATTACTTCATTTAACATCCTCAGTTTAACATCTAATCCTAAAGATGCATCTAATCCTAAAGAGCGGTCTCCTAGTCTCCGCCTCAGAGAAAATGTTAGGGCTGTGAAGATTAAGGATTTCTCCAAGCCCATAGTTTCTCATTTCACCTCAGACGGCCATGATCACACTGATTCTCTGTCTCTGTTCTCAAAGAAGGGTTTCTCAACTCCCATAGCAGAAGAAAACCAACAGGAACCAAACTAGGTTCACATCATCCCCCTTCTCACAATGACTTATTTTCATGTAATCTTCTCTATTCTCATGCAGGTTTTGACTTCACATCTTTCTTCACCACTCTCAACTGTAAATTCCTAACTTACCCTTGGATTCGGATAATTGATTTGAATTAGGAAAAGCAGTAGTCTCTGTACAGATCATTGTCTCATGTGACCATTTACTGTGTACTGTATGTGCATTCTGTTCTCATGCTCCTGACTGATTCTCAGTCCAAAAATGTCTCTAAATGCATACTGCCTACAATTTGAGAATTAATATTTTATGATTAACTATTAAAGGGCTTCTGAAGATCTAAATACATCAGTTTGAGTATCTGTATATCTGCATGTATAACTGTGTTTATCCATTACTGTTTTACTCTTTTTTGAAGAACTTTAACAAATTATTGAAGCACGATCTATAGTATCTTTTCTAAATCTCTGTGGACTTTCCTCTAACATACTGTATATTACATCTAAGAGGAGCTTTAATATAAACAAAACAAATTGAGAATAAAAATAACTAAAATAATACATGCTTATTTAATATCCCATAAATGTTTTTCTAAACAGTAGTGACTAAACATTAGTCTAATCTAAACATTAGTGTGCTTAAAAAAAATCAGAATAATTTTCCTTTTTTCAGAACATAATGAACCAAAAATATAATTGTATCACTGAGGGAAATGATTATAGTGGCTTTGTTTAGCAAACCTCAAACCTTTGTTTACCTAGATTATGCATTTGTATCACTTTTAAAATATTCATTAGGTATAAAGTCATCAAAGCGTGACCAGTTTATGAATTTGAAATGCTGTACAGCTTAACAAGGACATTTAAATTTTAAGCACAAAATGTGCACAAAATCTAAAGCACCATTTGAAATGAATAACAACTAAAGCTTAGTTTTTCTAAGTAAGGCTGACAGAAAGGCAATCAATTCCCATACTACAAAGAATAAAACCTGATCCAAAGGGATGTTGTTCTATTCAGTATGTTCTTTCTAACTGAAAAGCTTTAGGGAGTTTGTATCAAGTTTATTCTCATCACGAATGTTAGTGTTTTAATTTATTGAGTGTTTTTCAAAGTAAATGGTGCCTCTGATGCTGCCCTACTCACAGAAATGTGAGATTATAGCTTATGTGACGGACTTCTGACACAAGCCTGCTAGAGATATAGAAAGAAGCGACCACCTGCATTAACTTAGGGACTGACCCAGGGAGCTGGGCGTTGGAAGCTATAGGAGGCCGAATGGATTAACTTACTGCTTTTACAGCTTTTGAGGCGCATGCCATTATAGTTATTTAATCACACTTTTCTTAAAGTCCATAAATTATTTTAACAGAGCACAGAAGGCCTGCTTGACCCGGTTACCACTGCCTGCCTTGCACTGTCAACTACAAATGGTTATATATGGACCCTTTCGTCTTCGAGAAGGAACCCAGACATTTTCCATACGCATTATGAGTCGTTTTAGGATCTGTGATCTCCCCTGATTTAATGAAGTGAGACACTTTTTGGTAGAAGAACTGGCAACAAATCTGTCTTGGTAATGAGGTTATTGAAAACCACACTTCTTTTGATTACAGGAAATGGTCTTTATATTATTGAGAGCAGGGATAAAAATGTTATTGTAATCATCTAGTCCAATAACCAAAGACCAGTGCAACTATTCAGACTAAGAGTGATGCTAATAAAATGTGGGGATGCAGGAAATAACTGCTATTTGATTCAGAAATTTGATTTGTTATGGTTTTTTTTGTTAAAAGAATAACAAAAACAGTTTTGTTATATAAATATATATGAAATAAAAATCAAGTCTCATTTGCAGGTTAGAATCTCCAATAATTAATCATTTTTATTCCTACTGACTTTCGATTCAATCACGAGATTTGATGCAAAACAAACCTTTGTAACACTGTACATGCAAAAACAGTGACAGTTTAGCTCCCTCTCTACTATTATTACTACAGTGGTACAAAGAATTGGATCGGTCATGTACAGAACATATGGCACTGTACATTGCACATGAAGACAGGAAGTCCAAAATTTAATGCATCAATAAATTTCTTAGTAGTACATACCAGAACAAGAGTCCCCAAGCTTCTATAAAGATACTAGTAAAATCTCAAAGAAACATTGTTTCCATTTATTTACATGATCTCTTTTACGACATATATACAGTCTGTATATTTTCTGCTATAAGTGTGCAAAGCAGCTGTTTCAATGCAGCAATTATTCATTATTTTTGTTTAAATTTGAGAAGAGGCGCTTCTGATTACTGGCAATAACCTCACGATAAATTAAATTTTAATTAATTTAACTGTCAATATTAGGATATATAACTACATACATTAAAACAAAAAACAAGTTTGAAATCACTGTATCAAATATTTTTCCCATAATCAAAATCTCACAAAACATAAAATATTTTTATGAAACTAAAAGATATGTGAATAATTGAAATTTTTTCCTTACACTTTTGTTTCAGCAAAACTATTACTTTTTACACACATGAAATTGTTTCTTTATATGTGGACTCACATCAACAAACCTGCATGGTGGAGATACCCCTCTGCACCAGCCACACACCTAGCTCTGCAATCTCTTACAGGAAAGGTAGCACTGACTGGAGGAGCACTACATTTCTCACTGACATCACTGCAAGCCTTGGAAGTCATAGACGTCTCTGTTGCAAATCTGAGAGAGCCCAATGTGCCAAATCCTAAAAACACCCCGTGTTGTTCTTCTTATTGTACACTACCACTTGGCTTGGTCAGAGTGATCTAGCGACATCACCTGGACTCAAACCTTTGTCTGGGTGCTCCATCTCCACCTGGAGAAAGTCTTGATTGGTTAACGGAATAGGGGCAACTTCTGCTTATTTTCGTAAATATTCTATCAACTCATTTATGCAACTTATTGCTTTTTCCCCATTAAACATAAAAGAACCTTAACCTTCTTCAACAGAATAAATGAGTAAGCTTCTCTGTAATGTCAGTCAATGTAGTACTCCTTACTGCATCTTTATAATTGGGTAATTGTTACCTCATTAGAAGGACATCATACACACAGGAAAATACTTTCAAGCAAAGCAAGGTGGTTCCTTTTGTGAAATCAGAAGTACTTACAGGAGGTCCTGAAAAAGATAGGAAACAAAAAAGACAAAATAAATATTTATGATAAAAAGCAGATAAAACAATGACTGTTCAAAATAAAAGGGTTCTGTGCTCACTAGACACATAGTAATTCAGCAAATCAGTTTTCAAGTTCTTACAGTTTCCATTTCCACATTGCAGTATAATACTATATCAAAAACTGTTAAATGCCAGTGCATTTTGTATACAGAATTAGAAAATTAAAACAAAAAGAAAGTCCTAATACATAAAATTATTTAGCTTCTAGGATGTCTAATTTCAATCTTGTCGACAACCTGGCATTAAATTTCAGCTGGACTGCAGAATTACTGTTTTATTTATACCCCTGGCATTTAACCTTGGCAAAATGACAAAATGCTCATCTCCGTATCCTCTTACGCCACTGTTTGCCAGTAATGAAAGATCCTAGCAGGCACCTGGCTTTCCGGAAGCAACCATTCTTTCCTTCATACATGTCTGCTGTTTGTTAAATATGTCACAGTTTTGTGAGGTGATACTTACACATTTTTCCAATTATTCGAATTCAAAAGGATCTGTGCAGTGCTGCTTCAGGAGCCTATCAAAGAGTTTTTTTAGATCATATCTGATATTTGCCTCCTATTAGTGAGAGCAGCTGTTTTACCTAAAACCAGCAGCTTTTTTATTAGTTTTTTTTTGTTTCTTCAAACTTCTGAGTAAGGTATAGTGCAAATTGACTGAGCAGCTGCTCTTTAGAGACTTAATTTCAATGCTTTCAAGATTTTAAATTTTTTATTGTTCATTGAGACTAGCTACTTATTTTGTTATAATTTTGTTTTTATGTTGTTCTTTTTGCTAAAAATATACAAGGAAAGATAAATAGCTCAAAAAGTCAAGTCTTTTGAGATGAAAACAAAACATTGTCCATCCAGCTAGGAAAGTATTAGGGAAGCTGCAAATTCTGTGAATAAAATCTAAAGAAGGCTCCACGGCCGAAACATTGTGTTTTCTTTCTTCTTTTTTTCAGCATGGAATAAACCTATTACTTGTTCCTTTGCAGCCTACGCATGCTGATGCAGCTACCCACCTGAACTACTACATTTTAAAATAATGGAGCGTAAAACAAGTAAATGTGAATATGGATATTCAATTATTATGAAATTCTTCATAGCAAACTAAAGTTTCTTTAAAAATAAGAAACAGTGTGTCATGCCATTTCAGTCATATTTTTGTATATTCCAGAACATATGAATTCCATTTACATGAAAGTTTAATGTATCAAGTTATCCGACTTCAAGTAATGCTACCAAAATGTCATTCATTAAAAATTAAAGTGACTAAATAAAATTGAATTTAGCCATTTGAACCTTTATTTGTAAGGTTCAAATTAATTTAAACAAATGATAAATGCTTATATAATAAAGGCTAACAAAAACAGCAGTACAATTTTGTAAAGCACTTTTGTCAGTTATTTCAGAAAAAAACATGATTGTACAAAATTAAAGGTTTCTGTGCTTACTAGACACATACAGTAATTCAGCAACTCAGTTTCCATGTTCTTCCAGGTTTCATTTTCTAATTTCAGTATTATACTATGGAAAAAAAATTGAAATGCCACAGCACCTTTATACAGAATTTAAACAAACAGTAATTTCCATGTTGCTTTTACTACAGTATATTAAAAGTTAACTTCCCTTTAGTATCATTTTGTGCCCTGAAACAGAACCCACAAGACACTTGATCATTCGCAGGGTAGCTCATGAAATCTGAATATCCATATATTCATGGTGTAACATGGAGTAATATGTATTGGCAGCATGAAGCACAGAATGCCTCCTTTAGACCTCGAGCTTCTCTAGTTACTGTGAAGGCCTGACAGCATCTTTCATTCTCCATAACACCAACAAATTATTATTACTGTTATTGTTGTTAATAATAATAATAATAATAATAATAATTCCTTTCACTTATACAGCGCTTTTTGGACACTCCACTCAATTGCTTTACAGGGGACTCCCCTCCACCACCACCAATGTACAGACCCAACTGGATGATGCTATGGCAGTCAATCTGCGCCAGTAATCTCACCACACATCAGTTTGCAGTTGGGAGGAGTGGCTTCAATTAATAGATGGGGATTATAAGGAGGCTATGATTGGTAAAGGGAAATTTGGCTAGGACCCTGGGGCAACACTCCTACTCATTTTGTGAAACGTCCTGGGATTTTTAATGACCCCAGAGAGGACTTTGGTTTTATGTCTCATCTCAATGATGGTGCCTTTTTTACAGGACCCACACAGACCACGGGGTGAGCGCCCTCTACTGGCCCCACTAAGACCTCTTCCAGCACCAACCTTAGATTTACCATGAAGTCTCCTATGCAGGTAATGAACAGGCTCACACCTGCTGAGCTTCAATGGGTTGCCAGTTGCAGGGATATTCTGCTGCTGGTTGCAGAGATGGTTGCTGATTGCAGCCCCTAAAAGGGGCTCTACAACCCAGTTCTCAAAGGCACAACAGGTACAAGACAAAACTGGTGGACAAAGGCTACAGCTGAATGAGACCTTAGACTGTCTTGGCCTCCATGCCATTGGATCAAGGTTTCGTTTATTCAAGACATGTGTAGACGATTGTACGTCATGGTTTCTCTACAACTTGCGTACAAGGGTTTTCAGTCTCCAGAATATTTTCTCAGTACTACAGTGACCAAGTTATGGTGATGTGAGCAGGATAGGTGATATCTGGAAGCTCGTAGTCATGAGATCAGGCAGAAGGGCAGCTTCTGAGGGGGTTATCTGCTAAACACTTTTTGGGAGGAGTTAGCATATATAGAAGGCATCCCACTGGATGTATTTATCTCTTCCTGACTAGATAAATACATTGAGTGAGATCACCTTATCAACTTCGGGTGGTCTAAAACAGTAAAAAAGTAGTAAACTTTTAGATCTCGAAAATTAGGACCCTAGAATATTGTCCAAAGTATGGCCATCCAGAATGCCACACAGCATTTGTTGCCTGATATCTCTGGAGATACAGTATGACACTTAAATTGTTGAACTGAGTGAAACCTGTTTATTTGAATAAAGGCAAATAAAGGAACATGGAGATGTCTATATTCATGGAATTGGATTTGCAACAAAGAATGAAATCAATCACCTTCATTAGTTCTCTGTACAAATCAATAAGCACTTCCTGTTTGTCTTAAACTTACAGGGAAAGAATACACCTTCTGATCATAATTGAACGTATTCTCCCACTGAAATGATAAGTCCAAGGAAGTTTTTTATGTCAAGCTCAACCATGTTCTTTGTGGAATCCTGAAAGATAACAGATTTATTATTCTTGGAGTTTTTAAAGCCAGAGTTCTCTAGAATGGAACTATTGAAGTAGCTGGAAATGTCCATGGACTTATCATCTCCAACACTGTGTGACTAGAAAAACAGACGTAAAAACATTGTGGACAATAAACAGACAGAAACAACAATGGTTAAACACTGCCTGTACTATCATGATTAACGAAAATCTCCACATGACCAGAGCAATGACAGGACCCCAGAATTGCAACATCTTAGCCATTCTATTATGCCTAGCAAACTACCTCCCAAACATCTACCTGTGGAAGAAGCAATGCTATTGGAAAATCAACATTGATGCATTAGAAAATCCAACCAAAATAAGGCATTTTCAAGAATGCATTACTGAAAAGCTCTCAAGCTTCAACCAATAATAGAAACAATAGAAAAGTGTTTATACTATTTTGTAAGAGTTTTAGATAAATATCAGCAATGCCTAAAGAGAGACACTTAGATTTTACACCAGGAAAGAACATTATTTTCTTTTACAAAAAAACTTGCTCTCGTCCTACACATTTGTAGTGAAGAGGTAATCTAGAATAGATTCCAAGGATGCCTTCATTTTCACAATATTTAAGAAGGAAGACAAATCCAACATTTGAAATTACAGAGTGATGTCTCTGATGTCCATTGTTACGACCCCAAGTGTCTAGGGGAAAAGGGGTGTAACATTTAGGATAATTCTTTTGGAAGCAGGGGGGTTTTGGTGAGGGACTAGGAAGCGTGATAAGGGTAAGGAACTAGAGTGGTGCCAAAGAAAAGAAAATAAACAAAATGGAGCTGTCACGATTATAGTCCCCCCTCCTTAAGGGTGCTCCAGCCCTTTCACTCAAGACCTTATTCTGTGCACCTGTTTCCCATTCCCAGCCCACCTTAAAAGCCAGGCGCTGACGCTCATCCGGGCTCTGCACCTGATTACCATATCGTGCGAGTCCGGGATCTGGAAGCGCCTGGTCCCGTTAAGGTTTTAATCTCTGTTCCCGTTCCTGTTACCTCTCCGCCGGTTCCGACCCGGCCTTCGTGTTTTTAATTCCTTGTTCTGATGGATCTCCTGGTTTTGGACTTACCCTTGTGTTTTGGATATTCCCAAAGGACTACTCTCTCGGATTGTTCGCCTCGGCCACACCTCCCCCGTGCACCAGCGCACCTTGGACACGCCCCCTTGTCTTCAGCCCCGTTTTCCTGCATGACGTTTCCCTAGTGTTTCCCCACTCCGTCGGACTGTGTCGTCCGCATAAGGTCCGGAAAGAACTGTTCGTTACAGAATGCAGAGCCAACACCTGGACCCCGCGGACGGCACCCTGGCAGCCTGGATTCCTTCGTTTTTTTTTTCTCCCCTTTTTTTTTTCTTAGGGCTTCGGAGCCGCCCTGAAAAGGAGGGGCATACTGTCACGATTATAGTCCCCCCTCCTTAAGGGTGCTCCAGCCCTTTCACTCAAGACCTTATTCTGTACACCTGTTTCCCATTCCTAGCCCACCTTAAAAGCCAGGCGCTGACGCTCATCCGGGCTCTGCACCTGATTTCCATATCGTGCGAGTCCGGGACCTGGAAGCACCTGGTCCCGTTAAGGTTTTAATCTCTGTTCCCGTTCCTGTTCCCTCTCCGCCAGTTCCGACCCAGCCTTCGTGTTTTTAATTCCTTGTTCTGATGGATCTTCTGGTTTTGGACT